CCTTCCTGTTACTGTGATTGGCTCGGCAGCAATGGGGGTGGCGAGGGCGGTGGTTGGAGCTCCATTGCTTCTCTCTCCTCTCTACAAGAGAAACAGAGAGATTAGAGATTTAGAGAAATTCTCTCAGGTCTTCGGGTGGGGAAGATGAACGGTTTGGGTGAATCTTGTAATTAGGGTTTGGTTGTTTGTATTTGATCTGTTTTTGAATTGTTAATTGGAGTTTGGCGGAATGATTGTGGTTTGTGAATTGTTTGGTGGATCTTGTTGAATTGTTTTTGAATCTTGTTAATTAGTTTGTGAATTGTTAGTTGGAGTTTGACGAAATGATTGGTTGTTTGTATTTGATCTTATTTGATTGTGGTTTGTGAATTGTTAATTAGGGTTTGTGAATTGTTAATGGCAGTGTTGGGTGAACCCATTACGAGCACCACCATACCCCTCCTCAATGTTATTGCCTTCAAAAAACGATCCATCATTACAAATTATCAGCAATGGGCGACTATCAGCAAACTTGTCTCCAGATTCCTTCGATGCTATTGGATTGGGTCTGTGTGTTTGGGGATGGGTTGAGGATAAATGGGCTTTGATTTTCGTATATGGGCTAAGAGAATATAAGGTATATAATATATGGGTTGATATAAATTTTTTTTTTTGATTAAAAATAATTAAAATAATATTAAAAATACGAAACGCATTATGACGCTTATTATTCGCATTGACACGCCGAAACTTGTGATTCTTAATTTTCGGCCTCGACGCATTGCAACGCATTTTAGAACATTGATATTTACATAATGATTTACTAACAAATGATATGACAGTATTTAATTGAATCAAAATCTCATCAATCAAATAATTTTCATACTTACATTTGACACATCATCTTATGTAAAACATTATATAAATAATTACGTGCAGAAAGCATTTTCTAATCTTTATATGCTATTTATATGTTATGTTATCTATTTAGCTTCTGCGTCTCTTCCAAAGAAGACTGTATAAATGAACGATTTCGATATGGCCCCGAATTGTTACAATATAAAATTTTATGGGCTATGCTATATTTACATAATGATTTACTAACAAATGTTATGATAAGATTTAATTTAATCAAAATCTCATCAATTAAATAATTTTCACACTTACATTTGACACTTCATCATTATGTAAAACATTATATGTTATTAGTTATGTGTTATGTTATCTATTTAGCTTGTGCGTATTGATTTACAACTTTTTTTTAAAATAGATTTTATGAATAAGAGTTCACTTCCATTTATTGTTATTTTGAGAAGTTCAAAACTTATGTCGTTTAGGTACAAAATGAACGAGAGAAACTTATTCAATAATATGTTAAAGGGAAAGTGTAGAATTCAAGTTGAGTATATAGCTTCAAACGGTAACTGTACTGAAATGTACATTACTGTTTACTTTCAAAGTCAACAAGAGAATAAGTTCCAATGCTACAAAAATTGCCTAACAGAAACCTAGTAAAGCTTCTAAGTTTCTGCATCGTCAAGTTACCTGCACAAATGATCATTTAGTTAGTCCCTAAGCCATAACACCAATTGAACTGCTAAATGTGTAAGGAAACAAACTCATTTACAACAAACTCTGAATAAAATGGGTTCTCTCTGTGAGAATGGGGAGTCAAGGGAGTGTGATTCAAACCATGACAAGGTCACGTAGAAACCGAAGTGAGTAAGCTCCTGATGGCATTTCATATAAGTTCGTCTTAGACATAACATAACATAACATGTTTCAAAGCGTTCACCCATCGAGAATTTTTCACTTATTCCAGTGAATGAGGATCTCATGAGTATATATAAACTCGAAAAATCAAGACAATGTTCCAGCTGATAATCTTTTACTTGTGCCTTATACGTGCAGGGAAAGGCGGTTTCAAGGAAAAAGAACTGTACAAAGTAATTATTTATAAAACGACACATTGTATCTAAGATGAATTTATGTAGAAAACGAAAACTGCATCAAACAATGTAAAAATTAAATTTCTTGAATAGGCAAATTTTATTGATACTTGTTATAATGCTATTATTTCAATAGTGTTTGGAAACAGGTAAATTACCTGTCAATTGCTGATATTTGATATGGCATTGAATTCCAAGAACATGGACGATACTTGATGAAACATCAATCTTGTGATATGAATATTCACGGCAATAGCAACTGTGAAGAAATTTAAAGAAACTTTAGTTAGACGGACACTTTCTTCAAGGAAAATTAACTCTATATCAAATTTACACGTATACCTTCCGAATGGATCTTTTTCTTAATCCATCCATCCATGGGAGGAATAAAACAACAAAATTATTTTCCATTCCAAGAACAAGAAGCAAATTATGCCAGTTGCAAGAATGGAAATGGTATACGACACGTCAAAATCTGCAAAAAAATATACAAGCAAACAAAGAGGGGATATGTTACCTATGCATAGAATTGAAGTCCAAAAGGAAATTAACCACCGAATGGGAATCCTCAAGCCTTTATCAAATTGAGTGGAATCCAGGGAAGTTTGTAGGATCACTTGTTGTAATCATGCACATGGCACGGATTAAAGGGATCTCCTCGTAAACTTTAGTAGGAAAACATGCAGTCCTTATACATTTTCAAAAGCATCCATATAAAGCATTCTTGAACATAACTGTACATATTTACAACGGTGAAGGAATGGATTGAACTCATAGTCCGCTAGATTCAGAGTTTGGCAATCAAGATATCCTTCCACCAATATTCTTCCTTTGACATCAAATAGAAAGCAGAGGAAAAGAAAAAACCCAAGATCGGAGCAATAAGAATACTCAGTTTAACGACTGATGGCTTCCATTGCGACTCGAACAAGGTGTAATAAACCATCCACATCTAGAAAGTTAAAATCGAGCGCTTTTTTGAGAAAACAAATACCCTGACTATCCTGGGTCTCTTCAGGTCTTTGACTAGCAGCTGAAAAAGCAATTCTTGATTTCCTAGAGGCTTCCATTGCAAAATTTGTATCCTGTGCCTACAAAATTATATCGCTCAATAAGTATGAATCTGACATGGACAAACAAAAATAAGGAAAGAGAAAGAGTGCACGATAATACTGGTCAGATTTTTTAATTTGTCTCACAAAGTATGGTGAAATAATAATAGGAGGTCCCAATAGCTTGACATTATTTCACATCTAAATGTGGATAAACTAATTATACTAACAAAGTTGAGAAGCCGCACGAAACTAGAACGATTCTGAGCAGTGATAACGTGGCTTCCAGAAACTTGAGGAGAAGCAGCAACTTTGGCTAAGACAGCCCTGTCCATAGTTGCTTGTCCGTTGAAGTTGTCAATGTCAGAAGCAGAAGAGGAAGGAGATTCACCTATAAATAGAAAAAAAACAATTAAAATGCTGTGTTTTAGTTTGAAATCATATCACAGAAATTTTTATCATAACTAACCTGGGAAAACGATTTGTAGAGCACTTTGCAACTCATTACGGACCCTGCTTGCACCGTTGTGTGAACAATAAACTACCCGCATATATGCAACCTCCATGCATTTATAGGCCAAAGCAGCAGTAGCCATGTCTTTTGACTTTTCATATTCATGGGCGCAAAACCTAACAAAAAAAAAAACAATTAGTTTGGCAGAAAAAACTACAAAAGTATTCCATTTGTAACTGTTGGAAAGAATTTACCCCACTCAACTAAGAAATAAGAATGACAAGAAAAGCACCCAATAAGGGACAAACTCGTTTAGAATCCATCATTCAATGCCTTAATTGTTCATAAAATAAGAAGATGAGAGATTTACACAGACAATAAAAGATCCCAGTAAGGATATAAGGGAGAATCACTGCTCGAGGACTTAACAAAATTTCATTGACAAACTCAAAAATAACCTTGCCCCTGATAAAACAAATATAATTTATCAAGTTCGCCAAATTAAAGGCAGAAAAGTATATGAATAATATAAAACCAAGAAGTAACCTTTGCATGAATACAACTTACTCGCAGAGTTTTGCTGTGCTACTATATATATTCATCGACTGCATCATTTCATTGTGCTTGGTGCCCTCACTGTTCCCAGATTCTAACAAAGAGGCTCCATAGAGAAATTTGAGTGCAGCTTGGAAATAAATCCCTGTACTTTCAGTTGATCCAGAATTCTGTAACACAGACCATGTTATCAAAACAAAGGTATCAATGCCAACAACAGATGCAACAGGAAGTGTATAAACCTTAAGACGATCAGCCAGATGCTTTAGGTCCTTCGCCTCTTTTATGGCACTGTTAGCAGTGTGAGTGGAGGAATCTCTTCTTACAGGACTAGGGGCTTCAATATCCTGAACCTTATGCTTATTGGGAGTAGGATGCCTTGAATGTATGAGCTGACCATTCTGGTTCTCAGCTTTCTTACTCTGCTTCGGTGTCTTCAAGACATTGCCATTTTCAAACAAGTCAGCAGCCAAAACTTTTACTCCACTTTCTGTCTGAGACCGGGACACACGATGGAGATCAGAAACAATTTCAATCTGATCCTTTGCCACTGAGTGTGACCTCCCACTCCCATTGACTTCAGCTCGGTCGCCTTTGCCAGAGTGAGGCTTTTTGGACAATCTTTTGTCATCATACTCAGGTTGAAGATGGTTCCTTTTATCCAGGCTTTTCAAAACATCTAATCTACTATCTGAACCATCAAGACCTCCAACCTTTAGTTGACTTCTTCCCTGACTACTCTCTCTAGATATTCCTCCTCCAGCAGCATCTTTATTAAGAATGAAAATTTTCTTAGCCTTGTCAGGAGCGACAAATTTCTCATCAATTTTGTACCTTCCACTCTTATATTTTCCCTTAAACGATTTATTGTGATCTAATTCACAGGAAGAATCAGAAGCCTTGTTCATATTTTTATCCAAGTCAGATCTAGAGCTGCGACTCTTGTCTTTAGAACGTGATGAGAACCCTTTGCATGAGTTCTTTGAGTGAGACCCATTAACTTGAGAACGACTGGCAGTGCCTCTTTCTTCATCTTGGCATTGCTCTGAAGTATGTGTTTCACAAGCATTTTGATTACCTTGACCTAGGTGATCATCATAGACATCAGCAACATGATTAGTGATGGTGTGAGTTGGTCTTTTTCTCACCATCCCCAAATGGTCATTCCCTCCATCTTCACCCCGCGTAACTCTTCCAGGACTAGTAGAGGTCAACGAGCCAGGATCTTGAAAATCAACTTTGCCAACAAGGCTCCTTCCCGTTGACATGAACTTATCGGCGTTAGGACACTTCAAAGGAGATGAAGACATTGATTCGACTGGTGAGCCTTTCATTTCCCGGCCACTGGGTCTGCTTTTACTGGACCCAGACACCTTCGAAGAGCTTGAATTTTCAGCAAAAGGATGTACTGAACCCATATCACTTTTCAAATAATCTGCAGCCTCTAAGCTACACTTAGGCAGAGTTTTACTTAGATTTTGCCCAATGTATTGGTCTGTAGTAACCCTATTCTTTCTCCCTGTACCTACATTGGCCTTGCTTCGACTGGTTTCCTTTCCCCCAGATGTTGAAATTCTTTCTTTCTTTTCTTTCCAATAGTCACTTTCACAGATTTCTTCCATGAAATCCCCTGAGGCTTGTAGATGTGGTCCTGAACTATAAAGAACCTGAGAACCATGATGTTCCTTCCCTTTCCTCTTCTTAATAGGATCCTGACTATCACATTTGCTTGTATGCAACAAACCATCATATGAAGCACCTGGAACATTGAATTCTGAATTCTTACCGGATGCTACATTCTTTTTCTTGTCAACTCTGGCATCCTTATAGTGTTGATCATTACCTGATACATTATTTGACAAACCTCTGCTTGAGCTATGATCTGCTTTTAAGGAAGTCACATGATCTGCGTCATCACTTTTAATTCTTTTAGAAGCTCTAGAAAAATCTAAACCAGACTCTCTCTTGTTCCTTAACTTTGAATTTGTACCTAAAAATAGACACGTTGAAGACAAGTTACAGAAATTCCAGATACAGAAGTTCAAGAAGCTAAAAGGCAACAGTTGATACATGCAGTCCAAAATTCATAACTGAGCTTCATTAATACATTCACAAGATTAGGGCACATACATAGCTAGCAAATGAAGTACTTAATTAATACCTTTATCAGAATAATTGTCGAGGGATACTCTGTTCTCTTTTTTACTATGTTCGTTCTTCTCAACAGCAATAATAGGTTGGCATAGATACTTCTGTCCGCATGAATCAACAGGAAAGTCATCCGCTCCATTCAAAATGCTTCTTTTGCTTGATGTCCGAAGGTTCTTCTGAGATTGTGAATTGTGAGCGGGACAGCCTAAATCAGTTGAATTTGTGGCATCTGCAGACCCACGGGGTTTCTTCCTGCTGATATTTTGGCAGTCTTGACCAGGAGAACTAGCGTAAATTGAGGACCATCCTGACGAAATTCCAGCAGGATAATTAAACCGGTTGGGTTGACCATCTGGAACAGAGGGAGAAGCTGAAGCAGGAACCGGATGGTAGAGGGCCATTAAAGCACTAGTTGTCACCTCCTCTGGGATACTACAATGGTTCATTCCAGGCCTATGGGAAATTTTACAACAGTAGATCATCAGGACAGAAGTACTCTCACATGCATGTGCATGTGCATGTGCAGGACAAAAACACACACTAGGTCTTTTACCGTAGTACATTATTTTGGGCTACCTTATTGGATGGCATTTCTAGATTGATAATTATATTGACTTGTTGGTTGGATGATTGTAGAGGTAACTTTAGATGCAAACTACATTATTCTTATCACTCAGCCAAAACAAGTTGTCCTATAACTAAATGCCAAGATAAAAAATGACAGAAAGAGAAATTGATTGAGCTTACAGCCAGGTCAGCATCATACAGAGCCATTTATCAGGAAGGCTCCTAGGATTTGTACCAAGTGGAAGAAGTCTCCATTTTTGACATTTATCACAAGAGACCCAATTGTCCTTGACTAGAGGAACAACTCCTGTTGCCTTAGCATTGGAAATGTGTCCATTTCCAGATGGAGGCGCCAAATTAGAAGCCCCCCTATGATATTTGTCTTCAAAAGATGGCTTTTTGGATTTTTTACCCTTGCGTTTCTCTTTGGTCATGCTGTGACACCCAACGATGGCAATGCTTCTTTCCATTAGCTGAGGATCCTTCAGTTTTCTTGCCAAAGTCATTTCCCCTAAAAATGAGTCTTCATCTTCTTCAAATTCCAAGTCTCCAAAGAAGTCTTTATATCTGTCTCCAGGCTTTCCCTGGTCTTTTTGGAGATTGAGTTTATCATTTTTATAAACCAGAATGTTAGCATGAGAGCTCTTCCCACTTTTAAGCGGAATAGAAGAATTAATCATTGACTGAACTTTTGATACTTTAGATCCTTGAGCACCCTGACCGTGAAATCCTTTATATTTCTTTTTGCTCCCCGAAGACTTCTTCTTAAAAGCTTGTTTCATGCCTTCCTCACAGCCAGATTTTCCTTTCTCCATGACTAACTGTAACATAGAGCCAGCAGCTTCACCATTAAAAGAGTTTCTCCCCTCACAGACATTTGATTCAGAATGGGCTGAAAAAGAAGCATTTTCTGCTTCAGGTACATCTTTTTTGTTTTCCAAAACCTTAGTAGAAGAACCCAGCCCCCCACTCAACTTCTCAACCCAGTGTATATCTTGGGCAGGTGCACTCTCAAGAAGTCCCTTCACTGTAACTTCAGAGAAGGTTTCTTCTTTGACCTTATCGTGAAGAGAAGTCACAGGAACATCAACTGCTTCCCTCAAAGTACATTTTGTAGGATTCGCCATGCTATGTTCTAAATTTGAAAGCAATGGGAGTTTCAAAGCATCGGCAACAAGTTTCTCACAACCAACCATGCCCATATCAGTTTCCTTCTTCAACAGAATGCCGAGATTATCCTGACCACCATTGTTCTTCTTACTTGTTAATTCCATCGAAAAAGCGTTGTCTTTTTCAGATGACTTCAATTTCTTGCGCTCCAAAACTTTTTGATTACTCCTACTGAAATGAGATCCATTGAATAACAACTCAGAACTATATAAGCTTTCCTTGTCCATTGGAATATGCTCACTCTTTCCCCTAAACTTTCCTTTCCCAGTAAGGTGAATCAGATCCTCAGGTAGAGGGGATAAAAGTAACTCCATGGGTAATGATGTCATCATCTGCTCCAGTGCAGCAATATTGCAAAGTCAGAAAACCAGGCCATTTTAATAAAAAAGCTCAGAACTCAAGATCAAGAATGAGATACAGTGATTCACCTGAAGAATACTAGTAGGAGATTTATCTGGCACATCCTGAAGGTTACCACATAACCTTTCACTAGTTGTAAGGCTGTCATCAAAAGAACATGATGGAGAGACATCAAGACCAAGTCCGCTGTAGATTTCAGCATTCTTTTGTGTCGACAAATTTTCAGAGCCAACTTTGATTCTAACTTTCAGAATTCTCTTGTCAGAAGGATTGGAAGTACTCTTAACAAGTCTGCAATTCGAAGTGAATCCTTTGGCACGTGTAGGTAGCAAATCCCCTTCCTGGGAATTGCAGAATGATGCTATTTTCCCCGGGGTTGCTTGAGACCTTGCTGACAGAGACACTCTTGATGAAGCTAATGAGTTTTGTCTTCCATCCTGTATTGCAACACATAATATTATCGAGTAACCACAATTATTATGTAAACCAATACACAAACTAGTTCCTTCTTCAAGTAAAATATTTTTAACAGAGAGTACAAAGATTTAGATCTAGAAGCATCTACCTCTAAATGCAACTTTTTTGGGGACTTAGGAGCATCATGGTTATGTACTTCTTGAGAAGTCCTCGGATAAGACCTAGATGGAGACCGTTGATAGGTAGGCAGAAATGAACCATAGCCACCGAATTTCGCTCCTGTTAAGCATTCAAATCCCAATCAACGCTTCATGCAATGAAACCACATTAATGTGGCTCTAATTTTTCATGATGTCCGATGCTTATTTTCAACTTACCCAAATTCTCAGCTGAAACTCCACCTTCAAAATCTTTCTGAAAATGCCCCAAAATATTTTGGAGTTTTTCCTCCTTCAAAACAGTACAAAATGTTCAACATAAGATGATTGCTGACAGAAATTAAACTTCGGAGCCACGAGCTAATTATCTTATCTTAGTCTGGATCCCCTCTTGAAGTTCAGGACCAGACATTGAATAACAGACATCTCAAAAGTTCCATAAACAAGTTTCCTGTCAGTTTTTAACTACAAGTGGAATGAGCAATGAATTACTCCAAATTCACAGATATGGTGTCCTATATCGTGCAAAGCATAAATGCATATTTCCTTTTACAAACCTGTTAAACTATTGGCTACACCAAGTTACTAAAAGAGCATTGATGGACAAGAAATTAATTAATCCAATTAGACATTGTTCTTAACAAGACAAAAAGGGAAATTAGAAGACAAGTCAACATGATATCTTCTGTATAAAAGCAATTCAACCCAAGATTACATACAGCTTTAAAAACTGAAGTACTCATACACAGAGGAAAATGAATATATAGCAGAGTGAAATAGAAAAACTTACAATGTAGGACAAAGAAACATCAGGGTCAATGGTTGAATCCTCATTCGCATTCTCATTATGATTACAATAAGCCTCTCCTTCTTCAAGCTCAGCCTCTTCTTCGTCTCGCCATATCCCTAACCCCATTCTCCGGTCTCTTCTATCCACATAAATCAACGAAAACAATGGGACAAAAACCAATACAATATCAAAACTCCCTATAAAGGTAAGATTTTTAAATTTTTTTTCAATCCTCAAGTCACCGTTAATCTCAACAACCCATTTGAGAATATTGAAAACACAGAACAATCAGAAAACAATTTCTCCTGATCGGAGATATAGTTCAATTAGCTCTATCTATATAATGTATGTGCATTAGTGTCACAATTTCTCCTGAGTATATGTATATGCATAACATATAAGAACAGAAAAATATAATTTTTTTTAAGAATTGGCTTAGTGTTTCAATCTTTGATTGCATACTGGTGAAGTTAGATCATATTACGCATTTAAGATAAAAACCATGAGCAGGGAAATGCATAGAAGAAGGTGAGAGAGAAATAAAGATTCTGGTATTGGTGTACATAGTACATACAGCAGTTAATCGTTTCCTTAAAAATAGATTTTATTTTATTTTTTTCCTTTTTTAAGTGTATATGAGAAAATATTATTTTCAGCTAATTTATATGTTGTTTTTCAAAATATTATTGCGGTTATATTGTAAGATTAAATAATATAGAGTATCTTTTAGAAATATTTATAAACAATTTAGATTAAATGTGCGGTCAAAAAGTTGACAAAATTTTGTGAATCCCATAAACTATGCTGTTGAAAATGAATTCGAAGATAAGGTCCATAAGAACTAAAGCCTTGTTTGAGCCACTTTTTTGTAAAATGAGAATGAAAAATATAGCAGTTATTGGGGCCCACGCAAGAGATAGAAAATTTGAATTTAAATATTGATGTGATGAATAATGGTCATATTTTTCATTTTAATGAGAAAATAAGATTGACATTTTAAGATGGAACCCCAAACCTTAACCTCCTCTAGTGTAACCAGTCAAATAAAGGTCAATTTTGTCAATGCCAGTGCATAGAGGTTGAGAAACATGCTTTGGAATTTCATATTTTTTTAGTCCATTTCAATTCAATACATTTGTTATTTTATTGTATACTAGGTGCAAGTAACGTGCAATGCACGTTTGCGTAGTTTATATTTAATAGTTTTGTTTAAAAATTAATTTGTTATTAATAAAGATGTAATTTTTTTGGTTAATTAAATAATTAATGATGTAATGTTTATGCAATAGATAAATAATTAGGTGTGTGATTTTGATGTTGTGANATTGATAAATAATTAGATGTGTGATTTTGATGTTGTGATGTAAGTTGGTGAGATCGAAGAAAATAAGCAAAAGTTGACAAATTTGGAGAAATGACTAAATTGTAAGGGATCCAAAGTTCGGGGACTAAAATATAAATATTTAAAAGTTGTGTCGAACCTCACGATGAAGATTTGAGAATGTTCGGAGTAAATTGGATAAATGAAGACGTCAATGGAATCAAATTTAGTCAAAAGATGATCACAAATCAATTTCCAATCGAAAAGTTATGCTCTGATGTTTTAGTCTCATATTGAGACCTATTTTTGGCATAGAAAGTGATCGAATTGGAGAATGATGTCTGAATCAAAGTTGTAGCCAGATGAGTTAGTTTTTCAACGCACTTTGAATCGCTTCAATCGGATATCAGAATACAAAGTTATAATAAAAACACTGAAAGAAGGTGCAGCTGCCTATTTAAAACAAGAAATTCCGTTACATAGTCCGTTAAAATAACAAATTCCGTTAGTTTTTCCGTTAAAATACAAGAAATTCCGTTACATAGTCACTTTTAATATATAGAAAGAAGATATCCCAATTAAATTCTGACCTCAACTGCAATTTCTCTAACTATGAGTGATCAATGGTGAAACTGAATGGGACCATATGAATAAGAAAAATATTTTAATGACCATTCTAAAATTTCACACATACTTTCTATGGCCATTATGGAAATTAACCCCCTTTCTAAAAATTGATATAACTTTTATTTTCTCTCACTTAACATGAGGATAGTATATTTAATGACACATTCTTTTAAGCTAATTAATGTGATGTCTTCATCAAATTTTACTTATAATTACAGAAAGGTCTTCCAATTATTTAAGCAGCATGAAAATAATATAATTGGAATGCAAATTGTTTGGTTACGTAAATTTAATATCTTAATAGCTATTGAAGGAACAAAGTAATTTCGTTCACTATATCTCAATGAAGTAGAAGAAAATATTGCAATCTCCTAACATAGGGGTCGTGCTTCGGTCCCCGTATAAATGATCATTGACTCAAATCAACTATATTTGATCATTGACATTTTCCGTTGCTAATTAACGGATTTGAATTTACAGATCTCGCTCATATTTGTCTATCATTATTTCAAATTTTTTTCCTCAAACTCATTTTTAACTACACATTTTCATAATAAAATATTTTACGTGCAAATTTGAAATATTTTCCTACTATTTAACCACACATTATCCAAAAATCCACTATTCCAATTTTCATCGAATAAAATAATGATAGACAAACAGAGGTTTAATTAGGTTGGCTAGAACCTCACTTTCAAAACTTAAGACTCAAAAACCACACTAATTGAAAAGCTAGGAAGTGTAAAAAAAATTCAACCTTGTAAATATATTGTCCCAAATCGAGAAAACATAAACTTGTTTCACACGTCAGCACATCATTATCCTCTCTCTTTTGTCTTTCCTCTATTTTCTCTCTCTAAATCATAACTACCCAAACCCTAAAAACCCCAAAATCCCAAATCATTGACCCTCATATTCCTTTTCTCTCCCTCCCGTGGCTTCGACGTCAACAAGTAAAAGAAAGGCTGCTCCGATGATCACTATTGGTTTGGGCACACGGCAACTGCACACGATTGTCATGCGGCGCTGTGACAATCGTGTGCAGAACTATCACCGCGCGAGCGAAAATCGTGTGTAGAACTATCACCACCTCATCAGCACCACTACCGTTGGCACCACACTTTGCGCGGCTCGAAGTGGAACTTGTACAGGCAGTGATGGTGTGCTGTGGTGTTGTCAACGGTGAGCTTGTGGATTTTTTTGTAGGTTGGTGGTTGGGTGTGGTGTAAATGGAGATAGAGGAGATGGTGGTGGTGGTGTGCTGTGGGTGGTGCAGTGGTGGTGTGCTGTAGGTGTGGTGATGGATTTATGGTGAGGTGGTGGTGGTGGATCTTTAGCGATCCACATGTGCAGCAGTGCAGATCGTGGAGGTGGTGATATTTTTTTTTGGTTGGTGGTGGTAATGTTTGACTGTTTGGTGCGGTGGTGGTGATGATAGTGGTGTAGTAATTGTGGATGGGTAGTGGTATTGGTGGTGAGGTTGGCTACGGTATTCGAGATGATGGTTTTGTTGCCGGGAAGTGATGTTGGTGGTTCTAGCGATGATGGTTTCGACAGTTGCAGTGGTATGGTGGTGTTCACAAATGATTTGATTGATTGTGACCAATAAATTGGTTGGTGTATAACCAATACACAATATGTGATTAATGAAATAGATAAATTGTGATCAATAATACTATGTGACCTAAAAAATTATTAATTTGTGACCAACAATTTGATAAATTGTAACTTACATATAATTTATGATCAATTAATTTGATGTTTTGTGATCATGGAATAAATTTTGTCTTATAAAATTTGTAATTTGTGACTATTAATTTGATAAATTTGTGACAGTAAAATAATTTGTGACTCATAAAATTTTTTATTTGTGATAAAATTTGTTGTTTGTGTCTGTAACGTTTGTAATTGTGATTAATATATAATTGTGACCATAAATTATACAATATTGTGACTATAATATATTTAATTATTTGAATATTTTTTAATTAATAAATAAAATTTAAATTCATATCTGATTTTTGAAAATGTAAACATATTACTCTTAGATTTGAAATAGATCATACTTAATGTGTTACTAATGAAATTTTCCTTTGATGCAATCCCACTTGGTTAATAGAAGGGAAGAGTTCACAAATCAGGTTTTAAGTTTCACCCATGCAAAAATCACGTTTCAAGTTTAAAAATTGCAAAACTCAGGTATTTAGTTAATTAATTAAAAATAATTATTATTTAAATATAATAAATTCACAATTATACAAGTAATGATCACATACACATAATTATATATCACAATTTATTCATTGATCACATATTATCAAATTAATTAATCACAAATTATTTCGAGGTCAGAAATTAAAAAATTTATAGATCACATTTTATTTCATTGGTCACTAATCAAAAAAATTATAGGTCACAAATTTTTAATTAGTCACAAATTTAAAAAAATTATAGATCACAGTTTCTCTATTGATCACATATTTTCAAATTTGTTGATCACAGATTATCGAATTTTAAGGTTACGGTTTAATAGTTAGCTATAGAGAACCAAATAGTGGGTCACATACACCCAAACACCCGGCCCCCGATCCCAATCCACCACCAATACTTAGTCACAAATCGACCAAATAGTTGGTCACAGAAACTCTTCGTCTCGTCCCATCCTTGCTCTTCCCGTTCCACCTCCACCACCACAACCACCACCAACAATAACACCAACAACACACCACCACTCAAACACCGTCGCCGCCTGCACAGCACCACCAACATCGTCGCCCCCATCACAACATCACCACAGCCACCGTCACAACAATAACAAAAAAACGACCATCACCACACCATCGTCGTTGACCCCGCCACAACCACCGCCACAACAATAACAAAAAATGACCACCACCACACGAACCACCATTATCTCATAGACCACCACCACCACCACACAGACCGCCACCACCTCACGGACCACCATCACCACCACATGGACAGCCACCACAGATCCACTGTACCACGTCAAACACCACCACCTACCACCTCACCATTGTACCGCATTGCACCATCGCCGCTGTCACAGCAACGATCGTGAACCACACCAAAACCTCCGCTATCGACCACCACAAATCAAAACTCGACAGATCTGTGCGAAGAAATTAAACTAAGAAAAAAAAACTGATTCCCAATGCCTCTGCCTCACATCAACACCACCACACCTCTTCTCCTACTCGATCTGTAGCGCCGACGACGACGAGGGATTGTGGTGTGGTATAAGTCGGAGCAGCTCTTTCATCGTCAGTTGCCGGGGTTTAAAGGGGAAGAGGAGGGGAGGCATGAGAGAGAGGGGAGGGAGTAGAGAGTGATAAATTAGAGTTTTAATATAGTACTTAATTTTTCAATAAATAAACTTTAAACTTGATTTTTAAAAATTAATCTTTAAACACCTAGATTTATGTATTTTCTACTTAATAGAAAGGTCCATCCTAAGTTTCACAGGGCCCCACCATTGAATAGGCTAGGATTCCCCACCCTATTGGAGAATCAGGATGGAGATATTAACCATATATTTTCTTGACTAAAGGATGATCTAAAACAAGGACAAAAAAAAATTAAGTTTCCTGGGATTCAGCAGATACCTACAATCCCAGAGCTCTGATCCTTGAGCTCACTTCCACTGTTAACGAGATCGCATTTGCCGAAGGCGATCACAGCGAGAAATTCTCTCTACCCTTGTTTTACAGAATACAAAAGTAACCTTTTGGACAGATTTTGAAGAAAGAAAGAAATAAATTGCAGCTCAAGTTTTTTGAGTTTCTATTTTCCTCTTCTTGTGATGTGATCCAACAGAACCTTCCTTTCATACAAGAATAAAAACTGATAACTTCGCATTAAACAAAGACTTAGAACAGAAGAAGTCAACTGTCAAATCCGTTGAGACACAAGTGTTGGGTACCTTCGTAACTGAAGAAAATGCCACCCCACCCCTTATGCACGAATTATTCTAACACCTTTTGTTATCAGGACATAAATTGCTCAACATCTTGGGATAACCACATTGTCCAAACAATAAAGAGTAATGCTATTTATCTCCATTACAAATAATCACCAGTCTGTCTATGTAGCAATTGACGCGTTATTAAATGAAAAGGCAAATTTTAAATTTATGGATACAGGACTAACTTTATTGGTCTAATCATTTTTGCCACATCATATGAAGGTCATCTCTAATGAAGATAAATAACATTACTCAATAGTATAAGAGTGCTTTTGGACACTGGGAAACAGCTGAAGGTGTCTACTCCATCTTCCATCTTTTTTATAAGGAAATTCATTGCGTTAAGCAGAACTTCCTTCGTAACTTCCATGAAAAAGGACGAACTTTGAAGACTAATAGAATATCGTAATCTGACAGCAGAAGCATGATCACATGTCAACTTATGCATTAGCAGCTTGGGGTGTCAAATGAAAGCTTTTTGTATAAAAGTGGCAAAGCTGTTGAGACACTTCATATATTGGTGCCCATCACTGGGTGAAAATTGTGCATTTCATTTCGATTGCCTTCTCAGCACAAATCAGTGTTGACATGTACCTTTAGCCAAGGACGAGGTCATTTATTGCCGAGTAATAGAGGCAAAGTTTCCCAGTAAACACTGTTCTGTGGCTTCTATTTTGCGGCTTTGAGCATTGCATGCTGTTGTGTCTAACTGTGTAGTCTCTTGGTGTCATGGGTGAAATTTTGATTGACATTGTTATTGTAGGACAAGTCTTGCCAAGACATTTATGCATCAAAATTGTGGAGGATAAAGGACATGACCAGCCAAAAACAATAATATGCATAAAAACTCGTAAATCCATTGAGCAAAAGACCTTTCATAGAATCTCATTTCAAAAGTAATATAATTAACAACGAACAAATTACATGGATCGTGTAGGAGTCGGTCCTACAATATCATCTCTAAACATCAACCAAAAAGCGAGTGCAACGGTTCAGAACAGTACGTTGATTTGAGACTCAAAAATGGAGTTCGGTAACTTATAATTAACCAACCTTTGTTTTGACATCAAGATGAAAGGAGTTGCCTTGGCATAATCAATATTGGCTGAATAATCTCTGTAAATTGCCATACGAAGAGGGAAAATGACCGCTCGTAACACAATAATTTGTTGCAATAATGATAATGGCAACAAGTTAGAAATAAACTCTTCAAACTCACCTGTTCAAACAAATTCAAGTTATTCTTCCGGAACCACTGCCTTCCCTTTATAAATATCGAAAAGTTGAGGTAATGCCTCAGCATACTTAGTCACAAACGTGTCCAAGAAATATTTCTCTGCAGGACACAATATAGTGTTCAAGCTCTTATCTTTCCTAACTAAACCCTTCAAGAACAAAAGGCGAATGACAGAGCATCTGGGGATAATCCTCTTCTCCAAACTGTAGAAGAGAAGATGTGGATTATGCGCAATCATTCTGGACTCACAACCCATCTTAGTAACTAGGAAACTCAAAACTCCAGAGATTTTCTTTTCGGACAAAAGCATACAATGAGGATGTTTTTTAAATGCCATGTAAATATCATCCTTCGACCAACCCCATTTCCTATAAGTTTCATAGCAATTTTCCCATAAAGCCCTATTACCCTCCCCTGAACGAGCATGTAATGCCAATACAAACGTTGATTTCAATGGATCAAATCCCATTTCCTTCACCTCTGCAACCATTTCTTTGAGCTGGTCATGTTTTTGAGCGACGGCCTCTGGAAAATTAGACAACACTAATGCAATAAACGAACTAGGAACTCCAAGTGCCCGCAAAAAGTCCACATTCGGCACAAGTCTCTTTGTAATTGCCCGATGAAAAACCCACGAACCGCGTCTCAAAAGAGTCACGACCTTTTCATCTCCGATTATATCCTTGAGGTAATTATAAATTGGTATAAGTTGATTCTCCACACTTCTTGTCAAGAACGTAGGGTCTCTTGAAATGGTTCTGAAAAGGTCGGCTTTCGAAACTCCAGTCGACTGCAAGAAAAACTCAATCTTGGGCAAAAGGGTCTTCTCAGGATCGGATAAAAGAAGCAAAGGGCGTTTCCGCACAAGCTCGGCAATTTGCGATTTGCTAAATCCATGTTTTGTAAGAAAATCAAGAACAGCATCTGGTCTTTCTGGGCTGTCGAAATGCACTTTTTTGGAAGTAGAAATAGCCTTCTCTGGAGATAACCCACAGGAATTTATCAAATAGGATATAAGATTCACTTTTTCTAATGACTTATCCTCCGATGAAAAGGGTTTCAATTTTGACGGAGAAATTGCAGTTTCTGAGTCCAAAAGTAATGAATTTACCTTCGCAAGACTGCCGAAATTGTTAAAGAATTCATATTTGTGGATTCTTGAAAAAGTGGATCTAAGTAGCATTTGATTCTTGAGATGAATAACAAAACGAGAAAATTGAATTCTAGCGCCCGAGAACAGTTTTACACTTGACCTTGGGAAAGATTTCTTGTGCAGAGCAATCAAACCCTAGGGTTTACAGCGGT